ATATATATATCCATAACCACTTCTGCCAAAAAAAAAAAAAAAAAAAAAAAAACGTTTCTGCCATGCCTACCAGTTGTGTCCACACGACCGCTTTCATGGAATCCTGGCCATCATTGCCAGCAAGCTCCGTTGCTTCCGCATTTGACCATATTGTGACCTTCAGCAAACATACCACCCTTTAGATGAGCCTTGGAAAAAGAAAAAAAAAAAACAGAGATTTGAATGGCTAGCAGGACCGTCACAAGGAGAGACGAAGGAAGAGGGGTAATAAACAAGGAGAACCACAGCTTGGTAGCACTGCTCCCGATCCACCGCATCTGGGCACTGGATCGAAAAAATGGATTACGTCTTCTTCCATATTGTTCGGGCACGTTTCGCAGATGGGTGAGCCGTGTTGGGGTCAGAGCAATTTCTGCGTTCGCCAAGCGATCGCGGGCTGTTGTAGATAGGTGGTCAGCCACTGAAGGCTGCGAAGTTGTGAACCTTTGTCGGTTTGGTTTTTGCGTGTATTGTTTTCATGGAATCTCGATGGATTCTTTTTTTTTTTTTTTTTTTTTTCCTCGATGGATTCTACCATTACCATTAACAAAAACTTCATTCACCAACTGCACCTGCAAGACTGTACGTGCGGGTGGGCGCAGAAGCCTACTGACAGAAATGCAATCATATAACGTTGAGCCCCAACTACTTTCTTCCCCCGAATAGACTTGTGTACAGTCATTACATGAATATACATCCGTATTTGGTAAACTTTCAGCATGAAATACAGAGATAACGACCGTGGACCGTATTCGGGTGAAGCCAGTAGGACTTTGTGGAATTCCGTAAATGAAAAGTGGCGATCGCATTCTTCTGACGTTCATGATCCCCATCGACGGGGTGAAAGCCACACGTTTCTCTTTTGATTTAAGTTAAGAATACGAACAAGGAAGTCCATGACATTTCATCAAAAGCATCAAGAGCCCTTTGCCATCTTGGTTTCTAGTTGTCAGTTATAGGGGCGCCCGTGCCGATTATCTTTACAGTTCTCACTAATTTTGAACTCTACTTCCACCTAACACATGCCTGAGAAACCATCCACTGAAAGACAGGAAGGGACAAAGAAACAGAGACTGTCACAGACCAGTTTGTCCTTGTGTACATACCCCCTCTCATATGCCTACAGTTCTTTGTGTGTGTGTGTGTGTGTGTGTGTGTGTGTGTGTGTGTGTGTGTGTGTGAGAGAGAGAGAGAGAGAGAGAGAGAGAGAGAGAGAGAGAGAGAGAGAGAGCTAAGATAACAAGCGTGCACCACAAATATCATACAGAATTGATCATGCATGACAAGAGGACGACGGCGTGGGATGAGAATTTTCACCAACCTAGGAACCGCTGTTTTGGCATGAGAGGATCTCGAGTTGCCGCCTTGGCAAAGTGCTGTTTGTCTGTTTCTGTCAGTGTTCCAATTCGTGCTGGAAAGTCGACAGACTTCAACGTTGCAAGCATTGCACCCTCCGTCGATGCGCGATATCGACTGCATAGTCCGTACATTACTTCACCCATCATCTCAATCACTGCAGGTGTTGTGGTTGCCCCTGCCATGGTTTTTAACAGCTCCTGCAATAGAAGTCACATCCGTACAACAGGAACAATTTTAAGCAGCGCGTAGCCATGAAGCCCCTTTCGCAATTTTGACCTGTCAAACACGGACCGAGACACACAGCTGAGTTTCGCTCGTGGAATGTATGCCTTTGTGAGTTTCACGCTTGTTACTGAGTTTTCTAAGTCTCTGTGGGTGCGTGCTTGCTGGTCTGTGTGCCTGTCTGAGTGCCTGTCGGCTTGAGTGTGTGTGTGACCTGCAACGGCACTTGGTTGATCGGAAAGGCCCGAAAGGCCGGTGCTTACCTGTGCCCGTGACATTGAGGGTTGCAGCGGGGAAACACAGTCAAGTGGCGGGGAAAGAGGCCCGCGACACCAAGAGCAGCAGAAAACACTCAAGAAGCAGGTAGGTCGGTACCACACCAAGTAGAGGTAGATGTGCCGGGTACTCGAGGACGAGCAGAAGAAGACAAAGTTGGCATTCTTAGCGGCCCAGTAGTTGTAGACTAGGTCTACCCGAATACCAGTCCAACCAGTCTGATCCGTAGCAGAGTCTGCAATGATGTTTCCCTCGGAAGGGAGGAGGTACTGGTTGCTTGGAGTTCGCGCGGCCTCGGAAGTCATCGCCCAAGAGGCAAGCAGGCCGCTATATCTCCAGGAGGAGCGAAATGCTCCTCCTCATTGTTGGCATGCAAGTTTGGCAACACGCTGCTGGAGCGACCGGCGGACCAGCGCTAGCAGCAGGCAGCGCTTGGAGGAGGAGGAGCGCCCAGCTCTCCACCGTGGCTAAGGTGGAAAGAGTCGGGCAGGACGAGAAGGAAGAAGGCTAGTAGAGGTGAGCACCAGGGGACTTACCTGGCTATGGTGGATGCATCTGGAAGGCCGCGCTGGGGTAGAGCTCCACCAAGAAGCTTCAAGGCAGAGTCAGGCATGGCGACCTGAACGAGAGCAGCCATAGCTGCTTTATGTTGTCCTTTGCACAGCAGGGGATGCCCTGGTAGTCCGCCATAGCCTCGGCCTTTGAGGAAGGAAGGAGAAAGGCGCCCATGGCTATGGGGGACCTCATGTGATACCTGCAGTAGAAGAGGGATTTGGACATTGGTTCTGGTTCAGCCATTCAACATTACTATTATTATTTATTGTTTGAATAAGAGGGGAGGAGCTCTCTCTCTCTCTCTCTCTCTCTCTCTCTCTCTCTCTCTCTCTCTCTCTCTCTCTCTCTCTCTCTCTCTCTCTACCTCGCTCGCTCGCTCGCTCGCTGTTGTCTCTCTCTCTCTCTCTGGAAGTAGCCCACATGACTAAGCGGGCCCCAGCTCCGCTCATTCGATCATCC